AAGCCGGAGGAAGAGGCCGATTGCGTTCCGCAGAGCCGCCCAATTGGTCGCCATAACTCACACAATAAAGTCTCAGCGCGGTGGTCAGCCTTGCCCTCCGGCGGCGCCTGTGTGGTCTCCGTGCTGGAGCTGGCAGTCTAACCAATTCCAGCTTGGCTCAGGGACCAGGGGGGCCGCTGCAGGCTGGGACAGACGCCTCTCTCTGGAAGTGACCCTCACTGGGTCTCTGGGTTCCGGGTACTAGAGGCAGACTAGACAAGAGGGCCTGTCGCAGGGGCTGCGAATTCTGCTCCTTGCGAGGAACGGCTACCATTCCTGCTTCCCTGTTTGCCAGATCTGTGAACCCGCCAGCTGCCTGCACGCCTGGAAGCTTAGAGGGCTGAAACGCTGCTGGCTGGCTGCCTCCGTGTGCCTGCTTCCCCCACCCCAACTCCGCCAGGTGACTCTGGCTCTTCTGCCTTTCCACCTTCTGTCGGGGAAGTTTGTCCTATCCACCACCTTGGAGTTCTGATTTGCAGGGTGTAGTCGCTAAAGTGACTTCTGGCGGTAAAAGGCATGTAGCCTATGGCCACGACTGTCCACTCAAGCTGCTGGATTTCTAGCAGCATTCTCCTTATACCTGGATGGCAACTTCTCTAGAGCAGAGTTCCTGGCCGGCGATGGGGACCTACACCAGGCCTGGTGTGAAGCATCCTTCCTGAGCGCCAAACTCAGGCAGAGTTTGTGATGACTTCCTTTGAGTTTGGTAAACTTCTTGGATATATCTGAGGCTTGGGACCCAGGGCTCAGGCAGCGAGTGGGACTTTGCTGCCTGATCCCCCGGCAAGTCCCCCGCAGCGGCCTCCTGAGAGGACCTTTGTATGAAAGAGATTGAGAGAGGAGTGGCATTGCCAGGCCGCGCCCTCTCCAGTCAAGCCCAGGGGCGCCGGTTGCTGCAAAATGCCTCAGCTGCAATTTAAAGCCTGTAGACGCAAGCCCGGCCCAGGTAGTCAGCGGAAAACGGAATGGCAAAGCCAATCAAGACCACGAAGGGTCCCAAGGGACATCTGGGCAAAGGCACCTTCAGCCCGCTGCCACCAGCTCCTGAAGCCAGCTCGGAAACTTGTAGTGGCTTCGCTTTGCTCAACCTGTTTCGGCTCTGCGGCAGCCTCGTCCTTCGCCACCCAACCTTACGGGTGTTATCATAATACCCCGAAGGGGGGGAAACGGGTCGGGGGATGTAGGCGGTGCTGAAATGACCGA